CCAGCCAGGGAGGCATTAAGAGCATCACTTCACATCTCTCTCTGCTCGTGACACTGCTGTTCATAAATAAGGCTTTCATAATTTGAGAGGGTCAATTTTTCCCTGACCTGTGGGCATGAGCAGGGAAAATTATTGCAGTGATACTTCATTAATCATTGTCCACTGAGCCAATTTCACCTGCTGTTGGTTTCTAGGCAACAACTCCACTGTGAAGGCATCACATATTTTGGTGGTTGTGGTGTGTGCCTTTGATTCCCACCTGGTATGGATGTTCACAGAGCAAGTCTATCATCTCTGTGCAACCCTCACACGACGTCACGCTGTGATCCTATGACACATCAAAGCACATGTTTGATTAATAAGGTCTTGATGTGACCTTTCCTCTTCTTTGAGAAATGAGACGAAATGTCTGTGTATGCAAATAGCTGCATGAGGCAGTAAGACATCTTAGTTTCCTCTCCATTTTTCAGAGCAGGATGCACTTTTGGTAGTCTTGTAATAAGTTATTGTATTTAAAGATGATATTTTCCTGCTTTTTTAATCCTTACCACTAGCTGGGGGAACAATGTAAATTGGCCTGACAGTTGTGACAGAGAAAAGGTCATGTTATTTAAAGCCATCAGCATGCCTCAGTTGAAACACACTCCCTCGACACCTTTCCGATGCTGGAAATGGGGGGCTGTGTCCAACAAATTCAGGTTGTGTTCGTTTGATGCGGTGTAAACAAGCAAAGCAAAATGAGGGGTGCTCTAAGATTTTTATGCTTTCAAATGTGGTTTCTTGGCAGGAGCAGGTGGTGGTGATTGTCGCTTGACAAGAGCTTCGTTGACAAGAGGTCATAATATGTCCTCTGAGCAGCGCTACGTCTTCAGGGTGGTGACGAGATGGGCCGGGGCTAGCTGGTAAGTGCGCTAACTTCAGTAGAAGAAAAGATGTGACAGAGACAAGAAAAAATTGGCACTGAAATTGCAACATTTCTTCTAGACTGTATCTGCTGTTAATGAGATATGCTAGCTATGTAGCAATAGCATATAGCTCCTTTAATGGTAATATAGCAGGATTTCTTAAGAGTGGCACATATATATATATATATATGAAAAAAATAATTTCCAACAGAAAATGTGTTTTGAAATAAACATATGGTAACAGTGCTCAGATTAATCAAACAATTTACTTTCCCAAAGTGTTTTTGTGGATGAAACCTACTGAAAACCACCAACATATGACTTCTGTGTATGTTTTTGTAGCACTTTGTTGTCTACAAAATCCTCTGCTAGTAATCATAATCCGTGCAGTGTTTAAGTGTCCTCCAAAATGTGTCAACCATTTTCTAGTATGCGAACATATTTCTTGTTGACAGGAAGCTCAGCTCTGTATTGCATAACTGTCCCAACTAGATGTCCGAGCTTTGTCAGCTGTAATTACGTTCATCTTGAGCTGAATCTTTGTTGCACATCAAAGAATTGTGTCTTGTTTTATTGTATGTATTTGTATTTTACTTCCATTTATGAATAATGCTGCTTCTGTTCCTTTTAAATATCAGCAAAAAAAAAACAGACTGTACCTTTACTACGATGTCATATGTTATAGTCATGATCTTGATTAGGATTCACATTCCTCTGCTCCCCCTCTCGAGGCCCTCAGCTCAAATAAAACCCTTTGCTACTAGGAAACAATAACTTATAGACAGTGTGCTGACCCCAGAAATATGCTGAGAGTTGAAGCTGCAAGTAGACAATAGACATACAGCTGTATACAATTTCTGTGAAGCAAAACAGTCTCAACGACAATGTATTTGGACAAGATGAAAAAAATGTTGAGCAACCTTCCTCTGGATTGGTTGAAATGTTAGAGAAAACTAGGACAAGCTAAACAGCAGCAATTGTCAGTTTTCCTCAGAGGGAGGGAGACGTTGTGAATATGCATTAATTTTTCTTTGTTGATTTAGCTGATTGTCAAATTGTTCTTAACATGGCTGTCTATTCAGCCTTCTTCACACTGCCAGGACATGACAAGTCTCGGACAATAAACGTTTGATCGAGTTCCAGATTTTGTGTACCAGCATATTTAGACCTGCTTGTTTGCATGAATTGAACGCCCTCTGGGGAGCGATTAAACCACACAATACTACATAGAAGTGAATGTTATTTTCAAGGCCGATGGACGGAGAACAATGGAGCAGGAAGAGCGAGGCGGCGTTTTTAATGGCGGGAGATATACGCCAGGACGCTGAGAGGGGGCCTCGTCTCATCTGACTCCTCTCATCACTGTGTTGGGAGAACTTCCTGTCTACTAAGTAGTGGAAGTAAGTAGTCTCAGACAAAAACTGCACATCTCCATTTGTTAAAACTCAAAACTCAACATTGCTCTCAGAGCAGCAACTCTGTAAACACTTGTCCGACTTTTTCTTTTGGCCTGTTTTGTTTACACTGGCCTGCCAATAACAGTTTCTGTTCTGGGCTGAAGAGAGGCCAAGGTGTCAGGTGGAGGGAAGCCAGCTGTGGACACAATTGTCCAGATAAAAACGGAAAACAGCACTTGTTTCCCGTAAGGAAAACATGATGGAAGTTGTTTACTAACTAAGAAAGGAAGTATCTTCTCTGCACTAGTCCCACATGATGCAAAATGTTTTTCTAGTTTAAGAGTTTCTTCGGAGAAAGCGCAATTAATCAGAACCACTGTTTTTTGCCTGAAGTATCGATACACAAAACACACAAAGGACACACAAAGGATATGAATGTTTTTGTTGCTGTTGCTCTTCACAGACCCCTGTTGAACCCATTTATCTTTCTTTATTCCATTCATTTCACCAGCAGCTCAGTATGTAGGCTATTGTATGAGAGACTGTGCAGTGAAATAGATTTTCTGATTGATTTTCTTCTTTTTTTTTTTTCTTCCGTGTCAACGCAAAAATAAATAAATAAATATCCAAGTACAAAAGAACCCAATGGTGAAACTGATAAATTGCCAGAGAGTTCATACATTTTAGACACAGAAATGTATTGAATGGGAGGAATGTGTGTTTTTCCATGAGCAGAAACTTCAGTGTTGTACTGGTACAAAGAGCCTCTTTTATGGAAATGCTACTTTTTTTTTATGATAATATGATCTGTCTGTTTTCTGGCTGCATAAGTCATAGTTGTTCAAAGTCTCTGGAGAAAGTCTGTCACTGCCTTCTTAAGTACTTGCTCAGTCTAGACTCTGACTGATGACCTTAGTCCAGATCATGCGTGTTTCAGAGACATTTTGATGATTGGCATGTCTAATTAGATGCAGAGGGAATGCTAGACTGGGAATTTGAGATGTGTCCATCAGACCTGCAGCGATACTCCTTTCAATCCACCTTAAAAAGAGCTCGTAGCCACATGATCCCTGTTGATGCCAATGCTTGTATTATTCTCTTTTATATAGCTGACAATGACCCCCCCCATCCTATATCGTATATGGTAGGTATAGACTTACTATCCCTGTGTGTTTTTGGGGGTGGGGGGTTGTTGCTATGAAGGAAACCTTGAAAAATACCACTGTATACTGTACCAGATTTGCACCAACGGATAAATGATAATATTACATGTGGTGAGCGATGTAATCAATAATTGACGCCATCAAGAGTAGAAAGATTGTTGGGTGAACTGATATCACTGCGTTATTGCATTACACAGCTGTGACACATTTTCCAGCAAGAGACAGAAGAATGTAATAACTCAATTTGATAATATCATTATGAAATATCAAATGAAATGATGTTGGAGTCTAATAGACAGTCAAAGTGCCAAATTACAACAAGCCCCCTCATCTATGAAGTGGAGGTGAATGAAATTTTGTCTGTTGCGCTGAAAAATAAAATGTAAAAAAAAAAAAAAAATTCCAGGAAAACCGTCATTTACTCTCCAGTTCTTCAGCTCTCTGTAACCAATTTTCTTTGGATCTAGTTTCTCCTAAAGAAAAGTGTCCCTGTGAAAACCGTCGACTGTGTACTTTGTAGATCGTCCAGGGTAACAGAGACGTTGTTTCTATAGAGACATGGTTGCTGTTAAAAAAAATAGTTTGGGAAATACACTTATTCACTGTCAGGCTGAGAGTTCAGACTCATGACGGCATGGTAAATATGATGCTTCAGCCAGCAGCCAGTTAGCTAACGTAAAGGAAAGTCCACCTACTAACAAACCTCAATAGTTAACACCTTATGCCTCATTTTTTTAAAAATCTGTAAGTGGAATTGAACAATTTGTTTTTTTATGTTATTTATCAATGCTGGAAGAAATAATTGAGAAAACTTTCTTTTTTGTTTGGTAATGTGCATAATCTGGCCCTTTAATGTAACAATGAAATTACTTTAATCCAACAACACACTGTACTCACAATTTACACTCATTTACATTATGAGATGTTGATATACATTCTGTGGGGGGGGGCAACTTGTTTAGAAGCCCCTCATTAACAACACTGTTGCCCTTTTCACAATATTTTCAATTGAAAGTCCGTACTGTTGCACAATCCCATATCTTGGCAGGTTTTTAGTGCTTAAATTGGCTCCAGATATAAGTGTAAATTTGTTCAACTCTCAGGAAAAATAACACCAGAGAAATTGCTGTGGCTGTGTAACAACTGCATGAAGCAGCAATATCTGTGTCGTGGCTGAGAAAGCAGGAGACAAAGCCAGTGTAGTGTTCAGTACATTAATACATATATTTCGACATATATTTCTGGGATATTTTGATCCTTTTCAATGTGCACAAATCATTACAGACAAGTAGACTTCATGTTAAACATATTTACATATATTACTCCTATTTACACATATTCAAGTGCCTTTCATGTACAAATATACTCTACAGTCAGAAATAGAAATATCTTGATGCATTTTCCTCCGGAGTTCTCAGGGTGGTCTGAGAAACATGTCGGTGCTGTACATCACATTAATGTGCAGGAAATTGTTTTTGTCTGGAGTGCAAATGAAGCCAAAACACAACCCCCCCCCCCCCAAAGTGGTGCAGGATGTTAGAAAAAAAAAAAAAAAATCAGGAAGTGTGTTGACGCGGTGTGTGTGGAATGTGTGAGCTTCTCCCCAACATTTTGTGAAAGCAGTGGGAGGGGTCTATGGGTCGGTAGGTGTATAGACTCCATCTGTGTCCAATCTCATTTCAATAAAAAAAAAACCCCCAGCAGCCCCTACACACCCATCTGTGTGTATGTGTGTGTGAAGGTCCTGCTATTTACCATATGCCATTGCTTTGTTTTCGTGAAAGGTCAAAGGTTTAAACCCATTTTTTCTTTTACACAACCCTCTAAAAATCTGGTTCAGAGAAAAACAACAACATAGGAGGCTGATGGCAAAGGATGAGGTGTCTGCCTCAGTTACTTGGAGAACTGCGGTCTGGAAGAGCATTTACCACCACCACACACCGCCTGGCTGCTATGCCTAACTTTTATCTTTGCAACCACTCTCACAGGAAAAGGTGTCCGGCAGCACTTCAGGGAGGCATAACCACCAGTGAAAGCACCAGTATTCCTGGAAAAGTGCTTTCTCTTAAAAGCGTAAAAAGAATTCATGTTGGGGCTCAAAAAAATTCTCCTCGACTGCTTGAAGCTGTCAGAGTTTTACAACTAAATTCAACAAAAGTATGTAAAAACATACCTGTCAGCATCTTGGACTTTTACCAACAACTGTGGGGCTATAAAAACACGATGAATTATATGTACACTTTTCAATTTCTCTTCCTTTCCTGATGCTTTTTCTTGTTTTTTCACTGGTTAAAATTGGAAAAGAACATGTTTGTACACAGAATCCAGCAAGAAGAAACAGGAAATCTCCACATTTCCAGATTTGCCACTATTACAAATTCTACTTCCTCACTCTGCTTAATTTTTTCCTTGTAAACATCTTGGTCTGCTTTATGGGTTTGGAGTGTGGGGAACATTTTCAGTGACTGTCAGTCAGATCCAAAGTTAAGATGAGTTCATACTGTTTGTGTACCTTGGTGCCACTGCCAGACATGTGTTCACCTCCGGCCCCTGTAAACAGAGTCTTCTGGCTGCGTGTTTACTCCGTCTGAATGGAGGACTTGGGAGAATTGTCCAGCTCCCTCCAGTTGCCGGTGCTGCCCGTAGGGCTCCGGTTGGTCATCTTAGTCAGCAGTGTTGTTCTGCGGATGCTGCTGTCCGAGTCCTCCTTCTTGAAGTCAGTGTTTGTTTTGTGCCAGCAGGAGAAGCAGTGCACAAAATCCTGGAGGAGATGACCACTGAAGATCATGTATATCCACGGGTTGCAGCAGCTGTTGAGACTGGCAAGGAGCGCAGACAGAGTCACTGCTGTGTTCTCAGAATCTAGAGAACAGAGGGAGGAAAGGGGAAAGGGATGATTAATCTGCAAAACATCTGGTCCAGCCTCGGCTGCAGAAAATGCCTGACTAAGTTAATTCATCTGGTGTTGATGTTATTCATAGGAGAGAAAATAAGTTACATGAACAAGTTCAAAAAGTTTCTTACAAATGTAAATGTTTCTGCTGCAAATTTATTTCAAGACCAATATCCTGATGTTAGTAGTAATAATCTGATGATAGTAATAATCTGCCTGGTGGGCACGGTGACTCTGTGCCCACGGTGACACCCCCCCCCCTCAAATTATGGTTGAACAAGGACGTTAATCTTGGAAGGCTCACAGCAGTCCACTCTGCTTTTTCAAATATATGGAGAGGCTCGTGGACAAAAAAAACTTGTCTAAATAATTGTAATCATTTTAGTTTTATTCAAATTTACCTTCCACTTACATTATTATTTTTTTGTAAGCCAAAATAAATCCGTGCGTAAAGTCTGTGCGCACTTGGATCTGCGTTTGCGCACAAGCGCCCGCAGTGCTCTCTCTGTGCTGTTCTGTGGTTTTATATCACACGGTTCCTACAGCTAGAAGTGTTTTACATTAAGTCATGATTAATACATTTCTAGATTCATTTCTTCAGCACTCACCAACCCACTGGAAGTTCTCATCCCACACGGACCACATCTGCACTATGAAAAACGGCGCCCAGCAAACAATGTAAGCCAGAACTATGACAAAAGTCATTTTAACGGTCCTCAGTTTGGCTCTTGATATAGTTGTGACGCTGCTGACTGAATTCTTCCCAATCAGCCCGTTCTTGCTCGCAGCACCAGCAGTCGTTTTCCTTTTCTTGTATTTGATATTTTTCCATATGCTGTGGCAGATGAAGCCGTAGCACATGACAAGAATGACCACGGGCACGAGGAAGATGCCCACGGTTATCCAGGTGATGTACGCCTTGGCGCCCCAGGGTTCGATGAAGTGCGCCCAGCAATCGTAGACTTCCGAGCCGTTCTTGATCTCGCTCAGGGAGAAGATGAAGTACTGCGGCGTGCTGAGCAGCAGGCTGCACATCCACGTGGAGATGATCATGATGTAGGAGCGCTGGGTGGGCTGCTGGAGGGTTTTCAGCGGGTGGCAGATGGCTATGTAACGGTCCAGAGTCATCATCACCATCATGTAGGTGGACGCAAACATCCCCATCACCTGGAGGTGCTTCACAATCCTGCAAAGAAAGTCTGGACCGTAGAAGCGGAACGTGATCTCCCAGCAGAGCTGCGGCAGCACCTGGAAGAAGGCGACCACCAGGTCAGCCAGGCTGAGGTGTTTGATGAAAAGGTGCATCCGCGACATCTTCTTCTTGGTGTTGTACATCGCCAGCAGGACGCTCACGTTGCCAATCACAGCGACCACGAAGGTGATGCTCAGGACCATGATCTCTATTTGGGCCACCTCCTCGTTTCTCGCAAACGGATCGGATCCGTTCGGGTGGACGGTGCTGTTCCCAGGCGTTCCCATCGTTAGGTCACGAGTGGGACCGAAGACCAAAGACAGGTTCCCCCCGCTCAGCAGCAGCGCGTAATCAGGAGTGTGCATGGCACTGCCCCTCTGTGCGCCCTAGCAGATACAGTGCCAGAGGGGCTGTGAAGTGCCTCTCCAATCCGTATAAGGAGCTACCTGATGCTCACAGAGAGGAGCCCGCTGCTCTCTGACTTGTGGCTGCTGTCGGGGTTTTTTAAACTCGAATCAAATTTCAGACAGCGTGTGCGTAAAGTGAATACACTGCAAAAAAATAAAAAATAATTTGGCGCTGGCATGAGCCCTGGCACTGATTTCTCCTCAAAGTTTTCAATTAAGAAACAAAATTAGATTTTGAAGTTTTCAGTACAAATTAATTCTTTTTTGAAGATGCATTTTCTTGAGATTGCTCCCACATTAGAACCTTAAAGGATATTTTAAGTATTTTTTGCAGTGCACAGTCAAGCCCTTCCCCACGGTGTACGTAACCACCACATCGACAGTTTCTCCCACTCATAGCTCGGACCACATGTTGAGAAAGCAGATCTGTGTGGATTGAAAAAGTCACTCAAAACAAAAACAATTGCAAAATTTCCAAGGGATTAAGTTGAGCAACGCGCAGTCCGAACGAGCAGCTCATAAATAGTTAAAGCAATAGTCACACTTTACAATGTTTCCAGTCAAATGCTGGTTGAATTCAGTGGCATCCCTTTGTTGTTCACAAATGAAAAACATTTTTTTTTTGTAATGTGACTCTTGATTTAATGACCTGTATTTACTTCAATAGGAATGCATTGACCAACACACAGGAATGTTGTTTGCCTTCACCTCAGCAGAGTGAGGCCTCTGACAGGCAGTGATGAATTATTTGAACCTGTAAACCTGTTTATCTGAAGTGGTTTGCTGGAAGAATCACGCGGCTTGATTTATTCAGGTTGGTTCAGTGTTTCCTATTTGAAGTCACGTTTCAAACTGAGTGGCACGGTCAAGCTGCAGGGAACTTGCCTGATTATTAATACTCTTCAAATGAGGTGTTATATAATGTGCTGTTGTGTGTATTGTAAGTCTATGGAACTTGTGTGCCAACATGTGGTTCTGCCAGTTTTATTATTTTTGTCTCTAACCAATCTCACTTTTAGCATAAAATGTAATTGTTATTGTTATTGTTCACAGGATTTTTCTTCTCATTTACTTCTGGCCATGCAGTTTTGGTTTTCAGATATCCACCTCTCAGGTTTCAGCATCCTCTCCGCTACAATGGAAGTGAACAGAATTTGGTCAGCAGTGCTCACAGCATTGAGGATCACATTTAAAATATTCATTAGTAACATGTCTTTCCAAAATAAAATGTCTCCGTTATTGTCACTGTCTACAGTTTTTAACTGTTTCAAAAGGAAGACATGAGTCCTTATAAAAACTGTTCTTCTTTTTTAAATGTAACTTTTCAGTGCTTCGAGTACCACAAATTTAAAAAAAAAAAAGATTCCTTTGACCCTGATCGTATTGCTGTGGAAGCAGAAATCTCAGAGTCAAATAAAAAACAGAATCTACTGACATGCAACAAGTCTTTGTTTCAAAAGTTCACCAAAAACTCCATTCTCAGTGTTTGTTTGCTAGAGATTTGAAGTTTCCACATCACACTTACGTAACTTTATTGTGTTGGACTGCAACTGGCTCAAAATCATGTCGATTTGCACGTCATCAAGACTCTGATTGAAGATAAGCACTTCAGTGAGTCCATCAGTGAGCACGGAGACAATTTCCCCTATTAGCAGATGAATGTGAAAACGTCCTTCCAGTGTCAAACAGCATACATCATTCCGCACAGCAAAGGTCAAACATTCAAGTCAATTAACAAAAGCAAAACATGTTTCCGTGTTTAATATTGAACATTTTAACTTGACATCACTAACTATCCTGCATCTTCCGTTGTGTTTCCTCCGTCTCTCTCTCTCTCGCGTCTGCCCTGGTTAGAACATCCCTCCAGTCCCCGCTCTTGCACACTTGTCTTGCAGCTCTTTGCCTCAGCATCTTTAGTGACACCGCCTCAGTTTCCAGGTGACCTGTAACAATGTCAATTGCTTATTACAGTTTCCATTGCGAAAGCACACGGTGGCCGACTGGCCGTGGGTATCTTGCTGCTATTCAGGTCATCTGACCCATGTGCTGATAGTCAGGATAGTTATCTTTATTGTGTTCACATTGCATTCACCGTCCAGATGTGCTGTGTTTCATTTCCGATGGCCCTTGCAGTGAGCGGTGCAAACTAGAGCCCGCTTCCTAAAAATTTCCTGCTGGCTGGTTGAGCTGGCTCTGAGCCATAATGAAGTTTTCTCAATTATCCCTGTGTCAGTCTCTGCTAATGTTCCTATCAGAACCACAGAAAGGGAAATTTCTAATGCCTTGGGCCTTGACTAGTTAACCAATCTCCTCCCATGGGAGCCCGGTTATGTGTCTTGATTTCTACTCCCAATCCACAATGTTACAGTCATTTATTCTTGGGGGGGGGGGGGTTCAAGGACAGAAGAGCGGATGTCTCCCTTCACGCTGGACTGAACTATGTTTACTCTCATCTCCTGTTTTTGAAGATGTTCACCGGAGACGTCTTGTGCTGTTATTACAGCTCCAGGCTTGGTTTGTTTCATCAGTGGCTTCAGAACATGAAGACTCTGTTCGCCCATCCTCAGTTGTGGATCGTGTGTCTGGGCCCGGGAATCATGGGAATGCATGTTGTGTCTCCAGTAGCTGGAGCAGTCAGTCTGAATCATTTCCGTGATGTTTCCCTTTTACTCACGGACTTTGTACGGAGCTGCTCAGCCTCTCTGGGAACATTGGAGGGTTTTTTTTTTTTCGTCCTCTGGGATGTAAAATCTTGTTATGGAGATTTTTCTTTTATAATACAGAATGTCTTTCTTGCACGACTTAAATTTGTTACCAGGAAGGCTCTGTGAATATCAAAACATCTTCATCGCACTTTTTAATTTTTACCTTGACAGTTGCTCCTCAGATCTCATTAATTGCTAATTTACTGTGTGGGCACAGAAGTAGAATACATTTTCTCTCATTCCTCCAGTTGATGGAATATATCATCAAGAATCATAGTGTGAAATTCAGAACAGTTTCTAAAACTTGAACATTACATTTGAGGACTTTATATATTGTTTATGTCACTGCTATATGTAACCTGAGGCATGAGAAGAACGTCCGCTCTTAACTAACTGCATACTATGAATGCTTTCCTTGCTCTGTCTGGCTTGTATCTTTGACACCTAATGGATTAGCATACCCTTCAGTCCATGTCTTTCCTTATATGATATATGCTGTGTCTTTGAAATAGACTGACATCCAGATGGAGTACTGGAAAACATGTTTGTTAAAAAAGAAAAAGTCTAAAAAGAAACTGTGAAGGTCGGTGGCCTGCACCTCTTGATGCAGAGAGAGTTATCTCTGTATTTCTTTATACAGTATTCATAAAAGTACAGTACACATCTGTTTATCTCCTGGACGACTGGAGTCCTACGGAGATCACGTCAAACAAAACATTTAATTATCTGTCTGCTTTATGGCTAAAGTTATGAGAAGGAACAGGACCTCTGCAGCGGCTGCCTATAATACACTGATTATGTAAGTTCATATATGTAGGTTTGCATGTTCTCCTTTGGCACTGGGCTGATGATAAATCAGTGCTTCAGTAAACACCGCATTCAGGTTTATAATCGTGAAAATCCGTACCAAGTACACATGAGTTATGCAACCTGGATCTATGAAGGTGATATAATGAAAACTTCAGTGCAGCTGCTCTTGTATGTTTGAATTTGAAAGACAGTACTGGCCCTCAAAGACCACAGTTGAACCAAGAACAGAACAGAGTGCACGGACGTATGCAACAGTTTTAATTTACTTCAGTGTATAGTAGTAGTAGTTTCTTTTATAAAAATGGAACGCATTCTATATATTTGTGGACCTAAAGGGTGAAGGGTGAAGCATTTGAAAAGGATATTGAAGAGGTAACCGTGGGTCGTAATAAGCCGGCCTATGGGCTTGATTCTTACAGGACAGTCTCCAGGTGACATGATAATGCTTATGAACACAGCAAGCTCCATGAATAAATGATTTTCCAAATTTGGAGTGGAAGTACTTGACTGGCTTGCACAGAGCCCTGACCTCAACCTCAGCCTCCACCTTCAAGCCACTAGGCCTTCTCACCCAACACCAGCTGCTGACCTCACTGATGCTCTTGTGGCTGAATAGGAGCAAATCTCTGCAGCCAGGTGGTATGTTGTAATGTTTGGGTCTTTCATATTGAAATGAGGACAGTTTAAAAACCATTTCAATGTGATCACAAGCTCATGGACAAGCTAAACAGACACACACTAAATCACAAAACACACTAAACTGAACTAAACCTTCAAATATGAACACAGAACTGAATCAAACCTTCTGTCACACAATGCTGTTTGTATCTGAGGTCAGTGAAAAAAAAATGTACATCTAAAAGTGACAATCCTTCACTTAATATTTGCTATTGTTGGATGTTTGTGTCCACTTGCTGTATGAACTTACAAAGACCCGACAGAGTTGCCATGTGGTCTTTCTAACGCAATTTAATGCAAGTCATTTCACTATAGCAGTCATTTTATTCTCTTTTCATAACAAAGTAACGACATTGTCATTTTGTTTTCCAACCTTCTTAACATAAAACCAACTGAGATGTGATATCGCAGGAGAAATTAACAGTGTGTAATGGGAACCTTTCAGCAGGTCTTATCACATTATTGTGAATGGTAATATTGTTACTTTGATATGAAATCACTCATTAATCCACAGAAAAAGAAAACACGGGAGAGTTTTTTTCTTTCTTTCAGAGTTATAGATACAAAAATAGCCAGGCTGAACCTAAAAGTTCCTACTTTCTCAATGAGCCATTCAGATGTTAGAGACCATTTTCCTCAGCTGGAGGCGGACTTCAGATCCACTTGTCCTGCTTAATGAACAACTGCTCCGCTCTCATGTGGACATGAGAGCCTGATAGGATCATGATCATGATCTCATGCAAACCCGGGCCATTAACCTCACATTTCAATGCATTTTGGTTTCTTGCACAATCCATTGCTTTATGAGAGGGCTATAATATCTAATATATAGGACACAATATTGATATGCAGTATTTTTGTAAAC